GGGAGGCTGCTGACAAGGACGATGACCAAAGGCGTAAACCAAGAACGAACTCAGTTCATACTTCAGAATCCCAGAAACACTCAAGAACTGGAAGCTGAACTTCAACGAGAGGCCAAAAGCAAAGTGCTTAGTCAGAGTGGGTTTAAGGAACAGGTCCTTTCCCTGGGAACTTGCCTCTCTCAGACAGGTGTATGCCCTACCGTGATCCCCAGCAGAGGCTTATTCTCTGAAGAGGTTGAACCAGACAGGTCAGAACTGGGACACCAAGTACAGTGGAAATCAGGATGAAGAGTCATACTGAATGAAAACAAAGCAGAAGAAAGTTTGTGTAGGACTGGGAGACCCTGGGCCCCTTCTTGATCATCTCAGAAAAATAGCATTTAAGCTTTCATATCCTAGGTAAATTTGCTCTGGGGGATCAACTCAGCCAAGGAAAAAGATGGATTGATACTGACATCTAATAGTCCTCCTATGAAATGACTAGGTCTTCTCTGATATTCCCTACGCTGAGGCCTCCCCCAGTGGACAAGCACTGGTGGCACAAAGAAATTCCTATGAACTTTTTTGTACACTATTCATAATATGAACTCAGTCAAGAGTTCTTTCCAAAGGCATGATCTAGACTCACCAAAATTAAAAATCTCAACAGGCAAGGCAGAAACCAAAACAAACAAACAAACAAACAAACAAAAACCAAAACAAAGAACTCAAAGGAAACTCGAGATCATTTAGGTAGTAAAAAAAAAAAAGCCTCTTCAAAATTCCCCTAAGCTACATCTAGCATATTCAAAAACAGAGACAATATATTATTCATTGAAAAAGAACAGATTGATTTTCAAAAGAACATATGAGGAATAAGAAAGAGCTTTTGGAAATAAATGTTAGCATCAATTAAAAATTTAACTGAAGCATTAAAAAATTTTTTTTAAATATCCATAAAGCAGAGAAAACCAAAAAGAAAATTAATGAGTTAATAATAAAAGAATATTTTCTGAAATTGAAAGAAATTAATTTCAAAATTGAAAAGATTCCCTGAGTACCGAGAAAAAGGTCCACATCAGGGATGAAAACAAAGTTCTAGAAGTTTCCACAAAGAATGAATTAGGAATCAGAATAGTCTAGGGCTTAAAATAACAATAAAGGGACCTAGAAAAGAACAATGCAATGTCTTCAAAAGGCTATGAAAAAATTTATTTTCTAAACTAGAATCCTATACCCAGATTATTAATCAAGTTACCAAGTATAAATAAAGGTACGGTCATATGTGCAATGACATAAACCAAGAACAAGAAAAACACATAACCCAAAGCATAGGCATTTAACACAAAAATGAGGGAAAAGAAACTTCTCAGGAAGCCAGTGAAGGGAAGCCTCAGGATAGCAGGCTTGGAGATCAAGTGGTCCAGACTGGATTAGGATTGACAACGTCGAGGACAATCTCAGGGGGAAGAAAAACTGATAAGTTACCTGATTTCTGATTTGCTTAATAAGTTTTATAGTTTTACCAAATAATCTGGGACCTCAATTTGTAATTGAAATTATAATAAATCATTATATCAATTATGAATAAATGAAGAGGAAGCAATTATGACTAAGAAAATCTGAAAGTTATGCAAAGAAGGATAGAGTTGTTGAATCACTAAGTTGTACACCTAAAACTAATGTAACATTGTGTGTCAACTATACTTCAAGAAAAAAATGAATGTTAGAAAGTTCTTCAGAGAAAGAAATTCAATCATAGTATATCATGTGGCCTTGCTATGAATAGCATTTACAGCATCACAAGATTACAAATGCCATATATTAAAAGCCAGAAAGTAGGGGAAATATATTTGGGGATAGGAACACAACAGGGAAAATCCTCTCTTGATGTGTTCCAGTGGTTATTATATCTAGAGCCCTGCTCAGATTCGGGCTGAATTTTGCAGGTGCTTTGCGTAAACTTCCATTAGGACATCACAATGTCTGGCTATCTCTCTTGGTGATGTCAGCAGGTACTGACAATCATTACCTACATGTACTAACTCCTCAGGGATTACCAAATTGTGATTCCTAAATATATTATTTTTTCTTGATGTATTAGTGGGATTATTTCTAAAAGACAAATTCACAACCCCCCCCATCAAAACTAGGTTACCATGAGGTCAATTTCATGTAGGAATCACAGAAAATAAATGTTTAGTTATTTGCTTTAGTTACCAGTTTTCAATAATGATTCTCACTTTTATAAAGGTTTCTCTTGGGTTTTGTATGTTAATTTTTAGCCTGCTATTTCGCTAACTTCTCTCACTGTTTAGAGTATTTTCACTGATTCTTTTGGATTTTCCAGATACATCATCAAAAATCTGCAAATAAAGATAATTTCACCTCCTTCTAGCTTGACTTCATTATCTGTAAAGATGTTATTCTGCTCCTTTTTCTCTTCTTTTTTTCCTCATGGTTTTGTATAAGATTCAACCACTAATTTTTCTATTGGTTATTTTAAGTAAAATGAATTATTCAGTAGTTTAAGGCAGGGGTGTGGCCAAGATAGCCTTTCTAGCTTCCTAAAATAAAGTTCTTTCATCCGTTTCACGAAGTTAAAAAATAAAGACAAACTAGCACACACACTGAGATCTTCCCTCAACTGTTTTGCTCCAACATTTCTTTCTGGACCATCCATTTCCTTTGCCCCCACTGAATGTGACCTACACAGAAGCCTACTTCCGCACTTTCCATTCAGGGCAGGGTTTCGTCCTGGAAAGGTCTTCAGGGCTTCAATGTGACGTTCTAGAGGAGTCACAGAAAGGCCAGTAGACTATTCCAGTATCAGTAACCCACCCTGGTCTCCTTGCACTCACCTACTCACAGAAGCCATCAAAGTCCCTCCCAGTTGCTGCCACTGTCCTAAGAATGTCCCAACAAGCAGCCAGTATGTACCTGATGGCAATGGAGGGGGGAGGGGGGCTATGAGAGTAGAGTTTCAGAGAGGAGTTCTTTCCCTTCCCTGAGCTTCCATCCTCACCCTTCCTAACACCATGCAGTTCTGAAAACTGCTCATGGTTTGTTCCCCTCCTCACTCCTATTTTGAGGTTCACAGAAATACTTGTCAACTGTATTTGTTGCCAATATTATCCACTGGCTCTGGTTTTACTATACTAGTTGTTCTGAGTTTCAAAACCTAGGCCACTGCCATCCCCCCAGACTTGTCTATCTGATCTGTTAAGCTATGTTCAAGCATGACTTTAATAAAGATAAAATGCAACTTTAAAGAGAGAGAGAGAGAAATACAAAAAGCATCAGGTAACACTCAACTTACCTTGATAAAAACTGAAACTAATTTCTTATTAAATATTAAAAATATGGAAACTCCATGGTTATCACTTATATTATGATGTACGCACTGACTTTTAAATCTACATGACCCCTGGTAGCACCAAGCATAGCCAGCACCCACATCTTGGTTTCTAACTACCACTCTCCAATAAAAGGAACTGAGATTCTTTGGAGAAATGGCTGGTTTTAGGTCTGGGGTTGGGAAAAATACAACATCAGCCAAAAGTGTCTTGGAGGACCAGAAGGTAAGGACATGTTCCAAAAACAGAGGGACAAAGACATTTCAAAAAGGCACAGGAGCCAAACTGAAAGAGCTCCCAATGGTTAAAGTAGGAAGAATCTGAGCAACATAAGAAGGAATACACCAGTAGATTATAACTAGTATTGAGAAAAAATACATGACAGCTAAATTTAAATTTCAGATAAAAGGTAAATAATTCTTTAGTACAAGTATGCCTGATTGCAATATCTGAAAATGCCAATTTCTATATATCATTTTAGGCTGATATATAATAATATTATGATAACTATATAGTAAAATGTCTACAACTCTCTTTCCATAACATAGGCTTAATCATTCTCAACAACTTCTTTCATTTCTTCTAAAATGCTACTAAATCTAAAAGTTCTCCCAGAAGTTAGTGATGTGTCTGTGACCTAGACGGATGCTACCTTGCACTCATAGACAAGACTATGGGGTCAGTTTGGGAAAAAAGCAGATAATCAATGCTCCTCATAAATGCTGCATTGCTAATATTTATTTTGGCTTCATTAACACAAAATGTGACCAGATATGTGCAGTGTCATACAGTTTAACTGAAGTGTCAATACTCCTCTAGCAGTTGACATTTCTGGCTCTGCTTTGCCCTCATCAAATGTAATATTTATAAAATTGCATGTTTCTTAGCAGGATGATAGAATCAAAATTATCTTAGCATTCTCCTCTTACCTTTTAAACTCTTCGAGCATCTACTCAAAAGGTTCTTAAGTGTAAGTTAAATCTGAAAATTACTTAACTTTAAAAGATCATAAGGGTTTTTACAAGGTTAAATGAAGGCCGGTTTTGGAAATAAAAGTTTCAGTAAAAATTTTACAGTCAAAAAGCAGCATTTACCTCAGAACTTTACACCTCCTTAGGTCAAAAGGCAAAACTTGCCTTAATCTAGTGTAAGAAAATTTCATTATGATGAATAGGACTTTTCCTTAAAAAGACCAATTTCAACATCTAGCTCTTAAATTTAAAACATTTACACTGAAAACAAACTGGAAGAGGACAAGTAAATAAATTTGAACCTTTACTCTGAAACAACATTCTTTGTGAATCTACTGAACTCAAAACTATATTGCCCGCAAAAACAGTAAAGTTCAATATCCTTTTCCAAGGATTTGAAATACCAAAGGATGTTTAATTATAAATCCTCTAACTGGAAACAACTAGAAAAAAAAATTTTTTTTTTCCAAAAATAAGTTGAATCATTTCTCATTTGCTTGCTGGGTACTTATGAATAAAGAGTCTGTATATAGATTGTGCTCTCCCCCCCCAAAAAAAAAACACTAAACCACCCTGAGAGAGCGTGCATAATAATGCACTGATAAAGCCACTTGCCCTCTTTCAGCACAGCGGGCCACAACTGTTGGAGGGATACTCCTTCTGCTTCCCCGCTGGTTAAGAAGACTGCACTTACCGAGCTGGGGCTGGAGTGCCGCCTAACTTTTGGAGACTCTTTGCCAGTGGAGGAGGACTTAAAGTTAATGCAAGCATTGTTCTCTGAATGCACCCTCTTTACTTGATTAGCGGGTTTCTCAAATGGGTCAAAGGTGCTCTGCGTCCTCTGAACCCTGACTTTTTTATCCTCAGGAATTGTGTCCAGGGGTTTGATCACTGAATCCATTCCCTGGCAGTTCCGTGTAGACATCTTTGTGACACATATCTAGGAAAAAAGAAAGAAAGAAAGAAATTCAGAACTACCCACTTGAAGCTTTAATATCATGAAACACGTGATTTATTATTCTAGAGAGCCTGCTAATTTCCATTTCAGAAAATGCTCAGAAAGTCCGCATTCTGAAAGCTATACCAGCTTAAATCCCAGTATGAAAAAATTCCTCATAATTATTCCACTTCTACTCATTTAGGGCAGACACTAAAAATGTTATCCATAAAATGGGAAGATTAAGGTTTAGGGTACTAGTTCCCTAATGTGGTTCTTGAACCCTGTCACACATTTTACCACCTGCCCGCAAGTGCAATGATTCTGAATCATTAGGAAGTTGGACAACTTGCCTTAATAATAATAATTTTTTAAAAATCAGTTGAGCTAAATCAGATGGGTGTTTTAACTGATGAGTCATCATGGAAGCAGCTAACACAGCTAGAGAAAAAGATCACCATGTATTTCAAAAGTAAATCTGTCCCATCCGAAGTTCATCTCCAAACTGGAATATAAAACTTGTGCATATAAAAGAGCTAATGGTTAGAGATGTTGAAAAATTGAAAACAGTATTTTTTCTAATACCAAAACTAATGAATATAAAGAAATAATACCGTAAAAGAGAAACACTGAATAACGCTCATTTCAAAATCCACAAGACCCCTATTTGCTTCCCAACTTCCCTCATTCTCTGGCCCTGCCTGCCCCACTCTTGCATTTTATTTTAGTCTCTGACTTTTGCCCCATTGTTTTCTACTCTACGTTCTCAGCCTTTCATTCTTCCTATACTCTGGAGACTATGTTGTTCTTATTAAATAATTTTATGGCACCTCGCTTGTCTGTGAAGTTAGGTAAATTTTATTGTTCTCTCTAGAGAAAAGGTAATTCTGAAATTGCTTTTAAAGTTTTTTCTTGCTCTGAAGTTTTCATATCTTTATTTTTAAAAGCAGGAAAACAGGGCGCCTGGGTGGCTCAGTCATTAAGCGTCTGCCTTCAGCTCAGGTCATGATCCCAGGGTCCTGGGATCGAGTCCCACATCGGGCTCCCTCCTCGGGGGGAAGCCTGCTTCTCCCTCTCCCCCTCCTGCTGCTTGTGTTCCTGCTCTCGCTATCTCTGTCTCTGTCAAATAAATAAGTAAAATCTTTAAAAAAAAAAAAAATAATAAAAAATAAAAGCAGGAAAACAGAAGAAAATCCCATATTGTTAAAATAAAAATATAAAGTATCTGAGTATTATGTATAGGATGATTCCACATGAGGAATACATGTATCTACGTGTTTGGATATAGATACGGATATATATATACAGACACACAGAAACAGACATAGACATAAATATTTATATGTGTATGTATGAGCACAGTGAAAGGAATAGAAGAAAACACACCAAACTGTTAACATAAGATACCTCCAGACATGTGGAATTGAATTGGTAAAGGGTAAGATTACTAACTTTTTATATGCCCTGTATTGTTTGAATTGTATAATAAACATGTCTGACAATGTAATTTTTTAAAACTGCTAGAGCAGGAAAGTACATATAATTAAATTATGCCCTTCCTTAAAAATTTTTAAACAAACAAACAAAAAAAGTTTAATTAAATCTTGGGGTGCCTGGGTGTCTCAGTTGGTTGTCTCCCTTTGGCTCAGGTCATGATCCCAGCGTCCTGCATCAGGCCCCTGCTCAGTAGGGGAGTCTGCTTCTCCCTCTCCCTCTGCTTCCCCCCAACCACTCCTGCTCTCTGTCTCTGTGAAACAAATAAATAAAATCTTAAAAAAAAAAAAAAAATAAATCTTAAGCATCAGCTCTGTCCCAAGAGTATGACTCAACTGCAAAGCACAGGGTGAATTTTAATTAAGTCAAGTGAGAAGGATATCATCATACTTTTTAGCAAACCACAATACTGTTGAAGGTGTCTTGAAAAGATTTAAGGCAGATTCCTCTACCCATGATCAAAAACTAACAATTTATCACAAGTAGATGAGATGCACTCAATATTTTTAAGGATTTATGTTTTCTTCTTAAGGATGTGATAGTAAGAGGCAATAGATGTGATGTGGATGTGAAACCACCCACATCACTGAGGCAAGTAGATTATAATAATGTATAAACACATGGGCCGGAGAAGTCAACAGACCCCAAGTATAAGAAACACAAAAAGAAAAAACATGAAGGCACATCAAAATCAAATTGCTTAAAACCAGTGATAAAGAGAATACCTTAAAAAGGAGCCAGAAGGGATTTATCATTCCAATTTTAGTATATGTGCTGCCGAAGTGAGCACGGAGCCAGAGGGATTTAAAAGATAAGTATGAGAGTAAATATCTAGAAACTAAATAATACAAAAGGAGAATTAGAAAGTATCTTGAACTAAATGAAAATAACACAAAATATCAAAATGGTAGAATATAGCTAAAGTAGTACTTCAACTGGAGAAAATCTATAGTACTAAATGCATATAGTAGAAAAGAAGAAAGGTCTCCAAGCAATGTGATTATACCTTAAAATACAAAAAAAAAAAAGAGCAACTGAAACTCAAAATAAGGAGAAGAATGAAAATAATGAATAAATATCAGAAGGTAAATACATGAGGGGCGCCTGGGTGGCTCAGTTGGTTAAGAGAATGCCTTCGGCTCAGGTCATGATCCTGGAGTCCCGGGATCGAGTCCCGCATCGGCCTCCCTGCTCGGCAGGGAGTCTGCTTCTCCCTCTGACCCTACTTCCTTTTGTGCTCTCTTTCTCACTCTCTTTCTCAAATAAATAAAATAAAATCTTTAAAAACAAACAAATAAACAAACAAAAAGAATGTAAATACATGAAATAGAAAATAGAAAGCAATAAAGAAAATCAATGAAACCAAAAGCTGGTTGGTTCGTTTTCAGAGAGGATTTTTTAAAAAATAAATAAACAAACCTCTAGCCAGACTGATAAGGACAAAATATAAAAACAAATACTGCCAATATCAGAAATTGGAGAGGCGTGATATCACTACAGACCTACAGATAATTATGAACAACTTTATGCCAATAAATTCAGCAACTTAGATGAAACAAATTCCTTGAAGGACAAAAACTACCAAAGCTCACTCCAGAAGAAACAGATAAACTAAATAAATCTATGTCTATTAAAGAAATTAAATCTGTAGCCAAAAACCTTTCAACAAAGAAAAAGCAAGGGTTAGGCGACACTACTGGCAAAGTAAACCATACAACTAAGGAAGGAATAACACCCAATTCTACAGAAACTCTTAAAAAAAAAATTAAAGAGGCAAGAATACTTTCCAACTTATTATATGAAACAAGCATCATTCCAACCCTATAACCAGACAAAAATATTATAAAAAAATTACAGACTGATTGCTCTCATGAATATAGATGTAGAAATCATTGGCACACTTCTAATAAATTTAATCCAATAGTACGCAAAAAGGATAATAAATCATGAAAAAGTAGAATTAATCCCAGGAAGGTGAGGTGGGCTTAACATTCAAAAATGTGTAGGTTACCATTTTAGGGGCGCCTGGGTGGCTCAGCTGGTTAAGCGTCTCTTGATTTCAGCTCAGGTCATATCTCAGGGTTGTGAGATCAAGCCCACATTGGGCTCCGCACTGGGTGTGGAGCCTGCTTGAGATTCTCTCTCTCCCTCTCCCTTTGCCCCTCCCCCCACTCCCATTCACGAGCACTCTCTCTCTCTCTAAACACACACACACACACACACACAATGTGTAGTTTACCATTTTAATAAAGAACGGTAGGAAGTCTCTAAAATGGTTCCCAGTGATGGCCACTTCCAGGTATTCACACTCTCATTTAGTCCTTGAATGTGGGCTACTTTTGGACTTGTATCCAATAAATAGGATATGACAGAAATCATGGAATATCACTTCAGAGAAATAATAATAAAAAGACTGAGCTTCTGTATAGGTACTCTTTCCCTCTCTCTCAGATCACTTAGCCCTAAGGAAGGCCAGCTGCTATGCCATGAGGCAGCCCTGTCAAGAGGCACATGTGCAGAAAGACTGGGGCCTGAAAACACCAACATGATCTGTGCTTTCAAGTATAACCACAGCTCTGGCCTACTCCTTGATCAAAACTTCAGAGAGACCCTGAGCCAGAGACATCCAGCTAAGGAGTACCTGAATTCTAGACCCACAGAAAATGTTAGATAAACCATGTTTGTTCTTTCAAGATGTTAAGATTTGGGATAATTTTTGCAACGATGTGGATGGAACTGGAGGGTATTATGTTGAGTGAAATAAGTCAAACAGAGAAAGACATGTATAATATGATCTCACTGATATGAGGAATTCTTAATCTCAGGAAACAAACTGAGGGTTGCTGGAGTGGGGGGTGGGGTGGGAGGGATGGGGTGACTGGGTGATAGACACTGGGGAGGGCATGTGCTCTGGTAAGCGCTGTGAATTGTGCAAGACTGTTGAATCTCAGATCTGTACCTCTGAAACAAATAATGCAATATATGTTAAGAAAAAAAAAAAGAAGAAGGTGGTAGCGGGAGGGGAAGATTGAAGCGGGGGAAATCGGAGGGGTAGACGAACCATGAGAGACGATGGACTCTGAAAAACCAACAGGGTTCTAGAGGGGAGGGGGGTGGGAGGATGGGTTAGCCTGGTGGTGGGTATTGAGGAGGGCACATTCTGCATGGAGCACTAGGTGTTATGCACAAACAATGAATCATGGAACACTTCATCTAGAACTAATGATGTAATGTATGGGGATTAACATAAGAATAAAAAAATAAATATAAAAAAAAGATTTGGGATAATTTGTTATGCAGCAATAAATGACTAATACATAGATATTTTTAATCATATGATCATCTCAATAGACTCAGAAAAAGCATCTGACAAAATCCAGTACCCATTTATGATAAAAACTCAACCAATTAAAAATAGAAACACAGAATGGCTAAAATTAACAACACAAGAAACAACAGGTGTTGGCGAGGATGTGGAGAATAAGGAACTTTTGTGCACTGTTGGTGGG